TTAATATCCCCTCCCCAAACCTAAGTGAACACTTAGATTAAACCACTTTGTGACAGACATTCAGTTTTTGTCTGTATTACTATCCCACAGCCCTGAATTCAGAAGCCAGTAGCACGAGCTCTGTGTGAAGAGACCGTTTGCCTGAGAAAAAGATGTAAGGAAAAAAAAAAAAAAGCTGAGATGCAGGCAGCTTTGCAAGGAAAAGCAGATTTCTTTGCCAGTGCTCTGCTACCTCGTGCACGCTGCCTCTTTGGAGGCTCAGCCATGACAGTGAGCCTGAAGCTAAATGAGAAGCACATCTCCTAAACGCAGTGAGTCCCCTTGTGGTAGATGGTTTAGAGAGAGCCAAGCTGGCTTTAAATTAGCTGTGGAGCGCGCTGATGTGACAGCGCAAGCCTAATCACCCAAATACTTACCCAGCTACGCAGGCACATGGTGCAGCCCACGCGGCACTCGCCTCTGCTGCAGCTCCACGCATCGCCACGTGGAGCCAGCCACTTCAGCTATATCTGGCAGTGCTAAATCTGGACAGCAGCCGTGGGCTCCGTCCATGTGCCTCAGCCCCAGCAGCAGCTACACACAGCCACAGGATGACACTCACTGCCGTCAACCTTAACATGCGGAGTAGGAGAGCGCAGGAAAAACTGGACCGGTGAGGAACGTTTTCCTTGAGAAAAAAAAGGGCAAAGTCGTGCTGATTAGTGATTTGTCCTCACAGAACTGTGTGAGACACTGACAAAAGTTCCTCTTCTAAAACATATAAAGTTGTCTTTTAGACAGGTGCTAATATGCACATATCATCAAGCACCATTTTGAGAGAGAAAAGAAAAAGGAAGGGGGAGAAGAGGGGAAGGGGAAAGGATAGTTAAATATACTCTAAATAAATATCCACCTTGCATTCTGCTCTAGGTCCCCAGCAATGCCGAAATGCTGCAAGTACTGATATTTGGAATGGATTGAAACAACTCACTTTTTGTGCAGAATCTGTAGAGAGACGGGTCCACTCTAGGGGCAAAGTAGTTCACAAGGTTGGAGCCAAGCTCGAATTTCAGACAGAACTGGACTTCCCCAAGGATCAAGAGTATTTAGAGGAATTTGCCCTAAGCTCATTTTGGCTGTTGTAGCACCATAATTGATGCCCCTTGCTATTAGGAATTTTTTTTAACAGCAATTCCCCAGAAATATCTGTTCTTATGAGATTTGTGACCAAATTGCCAGACAATCTACCTATTTCTGCAGTGACGGACATACAAAAAGTCCGATATTCAACTCTTCATGCATTTGAAAACTGCCCTGAAATTAATTCTAAAGCAGATTTTCATAATGTAATGTTGAAAATATGTTCAATACAGGCCTCTTTCAGCTTATTTTGACTCTAATCTATACCTATAATTTGGTTACCCTTAGGAAAAAAAAGTAGCAGATAGAAACATAATAGAAAAAAATATATAAATGAACCGATTATTACAATTATCAAAAGAAGAGTTTCATCCTCCCACAACCTCTGCTCCAAAGTGCTTCTATAAGCATGCCTGGTTTTATTTATTTATTTATTTATTGATTGATTGATTGATTGATTTCACTAGCCAGCGCAGCCACAAGTGACCAAGCCAACAAGAGGGTAAATTCAATGTTTCTTTTACATTCCTTAACCTACTAATGAGGTTAAGGAATGTAAAGGAATGTAAGGAATGACTCCTAAATGGAGTCATTTATCCTCTTCCTCATGTGCCCCAACTGGGAGGCTTGTGACAACTGTTGGGTTATCTAGTTGCTCCCTTCAGGAACAAGACCAGGGCTCTACCTTTAGGCATAGCCTTGACCTCTGTGTTATCATTGAGAAAGCTCCCACTGCCATGATACAAGGAGTTAGGAAAAAAAGTGTTTCACCTAAACTCCAGCTTATGTTCATGTATTTTCTTCCATCGAAAAAGAACATCAGCATAGAGCCCAAAAGCTTAGTTTGAGCTGCCTTTCTGCTACCAGCATCTTTAGGAGTGGGTGAAAGACAATTCTCCAACTCTGCTCAGGGCTGCACCTTCATGGTTGCTTGGACTGAAATGAAGCACCAGCTGACATTGGAAGAGGCATCCACTGTGTGTGCTTGTGTTGCACTTGCTGTTGTGCATCTACATGATGAGCTGGTTCAGGGAACCAAGCTGACTGAATAGAAATCTCTCTCTTTTTTTTTTTTTTTTTTTTTCTTTTATTTTTTTTTAATTATGGAACTTGGTTTTCAGTCAGATCTGTCTTCTAATCCACAGAATCGTTGAATCACGGGATAATTAAGGTTGGAAGAGACCTCTAGAGATCATTTAGTCCAACCACAGGGAGACATCCAGGCAGGTTTGGAAGATCTCCAGAGAGGGAGATCCTCTCCTATAACCTCATGAGGTTCAACAGGGGCAAATGCAGGGTCCTGCACTTGGGGAAGAATAACCCTGGACAGCAATACAGATTAGGGGTGGACCTGCTGGAAAGCAGCCCGGCAGAGAGGGACCTGGGTGTCATGGTGGACAACAAGTTGACCATGAGGCAGCAGTGTGCCCTGGTGGCCAAGAAGGCCAACGGGATCCTGGGGTGCATTAAGAAAAGCGTCTCCAGCAGGTCGAGGGAAGTGATCATCCCCCTCTACTCAGCCCTGGTGAGGCCACATCTGGAGTACTGCGTCCAGTTCTGGGCTCCCCAGTACAAGAGGGATGTGGAGCTGCTGGAGAGAGTCCAGCGCAGGGCTACCAGGATGATCAGAGGCCTGGAACATCTGCCCTATGAGCAAAGGCTGAGGGAGCTGGGTCTGTTCAGCCTGGAGAAGAGGAGGCTGAGGGGGGACCTGATCAGTGTCTATAAATACCTCAAGGGAGGCAGTGAGGAGGAGGGGGCGGCCTCTTTTCAGTGGTGGGCAGGGATAGGACTAGAGGAAATGGCTTCAAACTGAAGCATCGGAAGTTCCACAGGAACTTAAGGAAGCATTTCTTCACTGTGAGGGTGACAAAGCACTGGAACAGGCGGCCCAGAGAGGTTGTGGAGTCTCCTTCTTCGGAGATCTTTAAAACCCACTTGGATGCAGCCCTGTGCCACGTGCTGTAGGTGACCCTGCGTGAGCAGGGGGGTTGGACTCGATGACCTCTGAGGTCCCTTCCAACCTTCGGCATTCTATGATTCTATGATTCTAACCTCTCTGGGCAGCCTCTTGAAGGACTCCGTCACCTTCATGATAAAGAAGTTCTTCCTCATATGGAGATGGGTCTTCCTGTATTTTAATTTATACTCATTACCCCCTTAATCCATAGTGGAGATGCATAAACATGGAGAAGAAGTGGAACCAAAAAGGGTGGTGGGAGGATAGAGAGTTGCTGAGCTCAGCCAGCATTTTTCATCTCTAGGCCTCCAATTGACTATAAGAATATATAGAGAGCATTATCCTTGCTTTCTGATTGAAGAAGGAGGTTGGGTCTTCATGGTTGCTTTAAGTGGGTGCACGTGCAGTCTGTCACTGCACACATTATGTAGACATAAGGAGGCAATGTCATTCATTGGCATTATTTTGTGAATGGAGCTCTCAGCAAGGAAGTTTTTTACCTTGCCCTGCAGTTTACCTCCTTATAGTTGCTGTGATTGATTAATCCCATGCAAGCCCTTGCCTGGTGTGTCAGTCTTCAGCCACTTGCAGCCTAGGAGAGTTATGGGGTCCACACTACTCACTGCTGCCTCACTCCTGTTCAGGCTTGAGGATTGTCATAGGCACAAGAGGTTGCACTGCTAGCACAGCTAGGGCAGAACACCGAGGTGGTATCACTGCTTAGGTGGGCTCAGGATGTGGAGTAACCCCATGGTCTCTCTTGCCCCAGGCAGCTTCCTTTTGGCTGTTGTTGCTCTTATAGATGGCTTGCAAAGGCCAGAGCAGATCTAAGGAATAATAGCTGTGTGAGGGAAGGAGGAAAGGGTAGAGGATGGCGTTTTAGTCTGGTGACCTCCTCCTGTGAAAAGCCTACATGGATCCCTTAGCTTCCTCTTGTGCCATGCTCCAGGTGAGGTGGCCTAGAGGAGCACCCCAGGAAGATGCCGGACTACAGGAGACCTCCAAATTCCCGGGCCTGGGAATTTGGCATCCCGTATAGCCTTATAGTTCCCCACTTCCCACAGCGCTTCACCCTGCCTGGCTACGTGTGTGACCCGCACCCTCCTGGATGCACCACCGCGGGAGGACGCGGTTGTGGCACCCGGGCCGGGCCGTCCCTCTGCGGCGCGGTCCGGCGCCGTGGCCGCCGCGGTGCCGCCGAGACGCAGGAGCGGGGCCCGGGCTGCGGCGGCGAGGGGCGAGCGGGGCGCCCCGGGCATCCCCAGCGCAGCCCCGCGCGCCGGGCGGGGGCGGCGGGACCGGGAGAGCCCAGCCCCCGCCGCCGCCCCCGCCCGGGGGATGACGTCATGGTGGGGGAAGGGCGGAGGAGGGCACCCCTCGGACCCCCCCTCCGCCGCCTCCGCAGCGCGGGGGGCCGGGCCAGCCCCGACGGGGCGGCCCGGGGGCGGGAGAGGGGTTTCTGCATCGCTGTCCCCACCCGCGGGGCGGCTCCCGTGCGTGTGCGTGTGCACGGGTGCGTGTGCATGTGTGCGCGTGCATGTGCGCGTGTGCGTGCGCGTGCGTGAGTGTGCATGTGTGCGTGTGTGTGCGCGCTCCAGCCCCGGGGGGACCGGCGGGTCTTTGGGAGCCCCGGATGCGGGGGAGAGCCCGGCGCGGTGCGGAGGTTTCGCGGCGATTAACGGGCCGGGAGGAGAACCCAGGGAGAGTGGGGTCTGGATAAATGCGGGTTGTGATGCCTATAAATGGCGTTTCTCTTCCAAGGTGCACACAAAAAAATAAATAAATAAATAAATAAAATAAAGAAAGAAAAGGAAAAAAAAAAAAGGAAAAAAAATCAGTCAGTGTCATCCCCCCACGTCAGGGCTAGTCGTGGGCGTGAGGCTGTACTTCCTCCGCCCCCTCCTAATGGAGTGAACCATTCCCAGCTATCCCTCCTCTCCCTCCTCTATTTCTCCCTCTTTCTCTCCTTCTTCTCTGTCTCCCCCCTTGTCTGCAAAGTCCTCCGCTGCTCGGAACTTGTTGGCAATGCCTATTTTTCAGCTTTCCCCCACGTTCTCCAAAGTAACTATTTAAAGATCTGCAGCCGCAAATGGTTTTACTAAATGTAGGATGGGACTTAAGTTGAACGGCAGATATATTTCTCTGATCCTTGCTGTACAGATAGGTAAGTGGACTGGCAAATTATGTATCAAGTTTTATGCACCAAACCCCAATTGATGCATGCAGAAAGGGAATGTCTGAATAACCTCAAATTAACTGCCGTGATTTGTGGCGATGGGTCTGTGGAATGTACTCTGTTCGTTGGCTGTCTATGCACTCTACTCTGCTTTCTTTATTTTCTTTTTCTTTTCTATTGTTTTAAATTTATTTCTCTCTCTCTCTGTCTCATTTTTGAGGGCATTTTCGCGATTTTTCCAAGGTGTCAAGTCAGACAATTCAGAAGGATAGAGATAGAATTCCTTATTCTCCTTAGATTGTTAATCGTTTTCCTAAATCAGTGCATGCGCCTTCATAGTTCGATTTTCCCCTTCTTCTTTCTAACCTCACCCTCTGTTTCGTCCCAGTTCATAACTGCGTTTATTTTTACTTTTTGGATAGCTAGCGCATTCCATTCCACAGACAATTTAAGGATTCTGGCGCTAAGAAATCCTCCCCTCCCCTGGTCCCGAGGGACTTAGAAATAAGAATTGGCATAAAATGACTAGTGAGAGATCTAGTGGAAAGTTTTTTGGTTTTCTGCAGAAAATCAGGGACAAAGGAAGGGCTGCCTTTAGTAAGTTGGAGGCTCTCCCTTTTGCAGAGCAGCCTTAAAAAAAATACTACAAACTTCAAAAATTAAACCACTCGATAGAGCAAGTAAAAGCCAAAAAAGAATCGCGAAATCCCACCGCCTGTTCGTCAATTCTGCACGAAGAGAATCGCTGTCAAAATGCCCTAGAATGTCTATATATGTTCCAAAATTCACTTAAAATAGTTCAGATTTCCCTCCACTCTCATATGCCTTTTCCTATATTTGTTGCTTTTTTTTTCCTGGTTATTTTAGTTGGCTTAATCTTATGATCATTTTATTTAAGTATTGTATTTATGTAAGCATTTATTGATTAAGCAATCTCCAAGTTAATGGCCAACTTGGTTTTGTGCGGGCAAATTTTAAAGGTTATATATTGCATATATCCCCAGGCATGATCCAAAACTAGCTTTTGGTAAAAGGGCGGTTAAAACGCATCTTTTATTATCCAGATTGTCAGGTGTAAAGAGAGGCTTGAAAATGTTTGCCTGTAAAGGAATTCTGATACCAAAAAAAAAAAAAAAAAAAAACAAAAAACCCCAAAACCTCAGCATTGCTATTTAGAGATCCTTTCCCAGGGTCGCCCTCCTCGGCAGACAATCTCTGCAACGTTTTGTGAGTAGCAAAAGCCAAAAGAAATAATAATAAAATAAATAAGTAATAACGATAATAAAGAGCAATGCGGGGAGAACAAGAGAGGGAGGAGGCAAGGAGCCTAAATGTACTGAACGATCCCTCATCAGTAAGAGGAAAAAATATATGAAATATTGACCCCTAGAAAATGAGGATACAGGGTGCAAGCTCCTGTATTCATATTATCATGAAATCTGGAAGGCCATTTTTTTTCCTGTGCTGTCAAAGAAAGGCAGGGGAAGGCATTATTTGGATGTTATCCTTAATTTTAGTCCTTACATTTTTGTTTGTTTGTTCATATGGAGGAGGAGGAGGAGGAGGGTATTACCTTTTTTGTGCTTATTTGATTCAACCGAGGAAGGATTTTATTCCCGGTGAAAATTCAAAAGGCAGCTAGAGTCGCCGGGAAGCGCCGTCCCCGCGCGGCTGCGAGCCGGAGCAGACACATTGGCAAAGTTATCCCCAAATATCGCTGTACACCGCCGAGATGCTGGCGGTGCCGTCGCTTTGCGGTGCCCTGCGAGAGGACGGGTTTAAAGATTTGGAGGGCTTTGCTTTTCTCCACTCCTCCTGTGTTTCGGGTAACCTTCCCTTCTCCTCCCCCGCCCCCCGCCCCCTTCCGAAATCAGCTGCCCCTGCCGGCTGTCGGTGCGGGTTTTACAAAGGAGCTTGCCCCGACCCCGACTCATGTGAAGTGGTTGTTCTGCTTGGTCCCAAACCATAGCTTTAGAAAACGCATATTTATTTTTATTATTATTATTATTATTATTATTAGGCAGCGAGGAGGGGAGGGAGCGAGGGCTGAGCCCGAGTGGAAGGTGATCGGCGAAGGGCACAGCTAAAGGGCGAGTGGCCTCGGAGGACGAGGAGGCCACTGCAGGAAGGGACGAGCTCCGCCGCGGAGGGCTCCTGCGGTCCTTCTGCACTGCCAATTGCGGATCGTTCCCGTCTTTGAAGGGAGGGGGTTAGCGGAGGGAGAGGTGGGAGGACCGCAAAGCACAAGCGACCTGATTCAAGAGAAATCCCGTTCTCGTTTGAG